CATCACACCTTGAGATTATCTGGAAATACGCCCTCCCCACTATAAAAAATTTTCTGGCAAATAGTAATCGCAGCCAACCATACTTTGTCCAAGATAATGCAAGACCCCACAAGGATAATATGGTGATAGAGCTTTTGGTTAAAAACCAGATTCATATAATGGCGTGGCCCTGCAGAGCCCAGACCTGAATCCGATCGAAAACCTGTGGGCTGAAGTAAGGAGTCTGTATGCTGCAAGGAAAGTTCGGGTAATCTTGAAGAGCTAGATGTTCTTGTTAAGAGAGCGTGACGTGACATACTACCAAAACTGTGCCGTTGATTGATCAATAGTATACCCAATCGGGCTGATACTTGTATCGAAGCTGGGGGACCTATAGATTATTAATCTATAATTGGATTTTTTTTTGTAAAAAAAAATTATAAAAAAAAAAATATAATAAAATATAAAATTTAAGGTTTTGTACGAATAAAAAAATCGAAAATTTTTATTTTTTGGCATAATTTCTGCGTGATCTAATGAAATTGCACAAAATTTTAGTATGTTGTACCATGGAATTTGCCGATTACATAATATAAATTTCGTGCTGCACTTACTTATCTGATTTCAAACAATTTAAGTTTAAAAAGTGTCTACAATAATATGCTACCCCTGTATATTATAAATATTTTGCTTAAACAGGTGACTAATTCCATTAGACAATTGTTGAAAAGTATGTTGTTGCCATTTAAGTATCTTGATATCTAAATCTTTACTGCTTTTAATAGTTTCCGAAATTATCTCTTGTATAGATAATAAGTGAGAGGATTCAAAAGATAATGGAAATTCTTTCTGCATGTAATATATATATATTATAACCATGTTCTTGTTATATATTACTTAAAAATTTTTATACCTCAACATCTTCATTCTCAATATTTTCTACATATGGTAGTTTTTGCTAAATAGCTACATTAGTTAATTACAATACTTGTGAATACAAATACAAAAAATTGAAAATATTTATTACCTTTTTTGTTTGTATATTCTTTTGATCTGGGGCATTACTAATTACTTTTCTCTTTGAAACAATTCTTTGAACATTTCCAGAAATTGTTGAATTGTTGATATTGTTGATATTAATTGAGGGGTTACCACTCATAAGCCCATTATTCAAGTTCCGTATTTTTTAACGATCAGGTCGATTATTTTAAACAAGAAACTTGGTTGGTTAACAAATTCTTAATTAATCCACATTACATTTATTTTATTTCTATCCCACTAGATCAGCCTTTAGCCTTAAACGTAAGACAACCCTCTAGATTGTCCCCACTCTAGTGGGGTTAATGCTAGCTTGCCCTCTAGACTTAAATGTAAAACAACCCTCTAGATTGCCCCCACACTAACATTTATTTAATTTTTATCCCACTAGATCAGCCTTTAACCTTAAACATAAGACAACCCTCTAGATTGCCCCCACCCTAGTGAAGTTAATGCTAGGTCAACCTTTAGTCTTAAACGTAAGACAACCCTCTAAATTGCCCCACCCTAACACTAACTTCGTAGCTCACCCTCTAGACTTGAATGTACAAAACCCTCTAAATCTTGCACATGCTACCAAACTTTTCTCTCTTTATTTTTTTAACCAAGAAAAGTACATTTAGTATATTTACCTCTTTATATTTCATATGCAACTCCTTTGCTCATTCACTTCTTTGTAAATTGTTAATATTAATTGAGAGGTTACTACTCATATACCATATTTTTTGACAATCAGGTCGATTATTCTAAACAAGAAACTTGGTTGGTTAACAAATTCTTAATTAATCCACATTATATTTATTTCATTTCTATCCCACTGGGTCAGCCAAACATAAGACAACCCTCTAGATTGCCCCCACCCCAGTGGGGTTAATGCTAGGTTGACCTTTAGTCTTGAATGTAAAACAACCCTCTAGATTGCCCCCACCCTAACACTAATTTCATAACTTGCCCTCTAAACTTGAATGTACAAAACCCTCTAGATCTTGCACACGCTACCAAACTTTCTATATTTTTTTAACCAAGAAAAGTACATTTAGTACATTTACCTCTCTATATTTCATAAGCAACTCCTTTGCTCGTTCACTCCTTTGCCCTTCTTCGTTATCGGCGATGATCTCAAGGGATCTAAGGTAAATACCTATTTTCTCACTTAAGTCATCTTTGTCTTTATATTCCTCTAAAAAATCATTTACATTCCACCTAGAGCAACTTCGTTTAAAATATTCAGGTATCTATTTTTTATAAATCCATGAAAAATTTGATGTTTGACCCGTAATAAATTGATTCTGTCATATTCGACTTACAATAAAATTGGACATAGTTATTCGAAATTAAAGGCGTACGTACGTGTCTGATTACAAGTCACGCCTTTATATCCAGCTTTCAAACGTAAGGTGATACAGATACTTAAAATCAGGTGTTACACAGAAGAAACGCGAAAAATCAAAACATTTTATCTAACCCTTGAGAAACTTCTAGGGCCTTTGACGTTGTATTTGATAAATATTTTTCATCCGGAATTCCCAGTACAGCAAATCTGGCAGGAGCACTTAAAATGTTTGTATCATCCAAGGCTAGATTTCGATCTAAATGTTGGTAAGAGACGGTTGAGATATATATTGTTCTACTCGATTGAATTGCAAGTTGACAACGCATTCCAGCAAAAGCAAACCAATTTCCAATATGATTGTTTCCATCGATAGCAACATGAGCTTTATGGCCATGTACGTAACCATTATAAAGTAATAGAGAGAAATTTTGTATTTGGCATTTCAGTATAAGGTCTAGAAGTTAAACTATGAATTATACGAGCACCACCAGAAGAAAGAGTAAAATCAGGCATATTACGAATATCAGTTTTAATATTTTCTTGAACTAAATTATGGGCAGCAGACATCACCCATTCATTAAATTGTTTTTTGTCAGGAAGAATAACAGAACCATATTTTTCACGAAGAACTCGTTCAACGATTGGAGGGACAGTTTTTCGTAACATTTCATCAACTTTTTGTATTGATTGTTCAAGGTTCATATGTACGTCCAACATAGGAGGAATTGTTTTTGGAGCGTAGTTAGAGCCCAGCATAGAACCAAATGTTGACACCAATAAATCATAAATACCATCAGATTACTTGTTTCATTAACACTTATAATACTGACTTCATCAATTTCATTTGCTGGCCTTAATAAAATAAATAATAATATAAAGAATATGGCTAATGACAAAGTTGTTTTACGACCAACTGTGAATTTACGAATTTCGACAGATACGCTTGTGATCGTACTAATAAAATTTGACCATATATCATAAATCATGGCAGAACGAGATTGCCTAATAATATAAATAAAATTTAATAAATAAATAAAAAGGTAATATTTTAGATATGATAATAAAAAAAAAAAAAAGAAATAAAAATCATACTGTATGTTATTTATAGGAATATCATCATCAATTATTGGAGGCCTCTCAGTTGATTGTGGATTAATAAATTCAATGGGTAGACCATCAGAAGGATTTTCATTAGTTTCAGGAATATCAGAAGGAATAATAATTGAAGGAAGATTGTCAGGTATTTGAACCGAAGGAGTTTTTTGTTTACGAAAATTAATCGTATCAGGTTTCTTCTCTTGAGATTTTCGATTGACACGTCGCCGTCTCGAAGTGGAAGGAGTAACGTTTATATTTAATTTTTGAGTAGATGGTAACTCAGAATCAGAAGAACCACCAAATTCTTGATCGTGACCATTTTCTTTAAGTTTATCATCATGTTTTGAAACCGGTTGACCTACTCCATAATCCTGCTTTCGAGTAGCAACCATGGCTGCGTAAATTATATTAGGGTTCATTAAGAGAATAAACTTTAATTTAATCTTGTATTGATTGGTAAAAGATGAAGAAAGATCTGATGGCCGTGATTTCAAGCTTGAAAATATATATTCAAGTATTATTTTGAATTCATATAAACTTTAGATGGCAGGCACACCAAAATATACATTTAATAGCCAAAACCAACTAATACCTACCGATATAAACCCGAAAAATTAGATCAACGTAACGATTTTGTTTCAATATCTTAAAAAAAAGAGAAAAAAAATTGAGTTCAATTAATCAATAAATTATATATTATATATAATTATATATCAACAAAGGCGCAGTACCTACCTACAGTTCAAATCGGCTACCGCGGGAAGTTAAACGGCCGACACGCCAATTTGTTCAATGTGTTAAAGATTGTAAATTTCTCTGAAGTATGAATAATTATTAGCTGGTACCCTGCCCTTTTAGAAATGGATGAGCAAAGTTAACAAGGTACTTCAAATAGGTCTTTCGACGGGACCAAGCCTCGAGGGTAGTTGTATATTATGTTTTAATAAGACTTACCGCTTGTCGTTTTATAATAATATTAAAGCTTGGCTTGAAGTAACGGTTCCAAGCCGAAAAGAGTGGACTAACATGTAAACTGATAATGGTGCCTTGACTTACAAGACAAAAAAAAAAAGCAAAAAAAGGAACTAAAAGAAATGATAGTAATTTTTTTTTTTCTTGTCTGAGAAGAAAATGTAAGTGGATGTTCAATAAACTATCCGGTACATACATATTTACAATTTAGCCTTGAGGGATTTCTTAAATAGTTAGTCTCAAACATGATAAATCATCATGATTGCACATGTATAAATTTTCATTGTCATATTTACAATTGCATAACCCTGATACGCGCATTTATGGCGCATTTATTTGACTATCACATCTGAAAGAACAAGTAAACCTTTAATATTCAATCTTGTATAATCGGGTACGCACGTACGTACGTATGTGCGTACCTATGTATGTACAAAAGGGGATCTCTATTGTGAACATTTTTAATCCTGAGAATTCTGAGAATTTTCTTGCCGGCACGTATGTACGATATAATAATAGCATTATTTTGGATAGTGTGTACTTATTTAAACATTGTTTCCGAGCTTTAAATGATTTTTTCTGCACTATTTCGATTTTGTACACCATATCATTATTAGTGCTTTTTTCAAAACTGTTTGCTTGAAAACGTGAAATTATATATATATAGGTATGGATCAAAAATAGAAACTCGAAACCCTATGATAGAATTCGCGTGATTTGAGAAACAAATATTGATAAATTTGGGATACTTGATAAAAATTAGTTGAATGATTTTTCGTTAACTAGTGGCAAAACCACGGGAAGGTTGTAAAAATTTAAAAATTTAAAAATTTTTATAAATAAATTAATACTATTTAAATATATTTAAACTAATAAATAAATAAATTATATTTACGAATTAAGTTAGTAAATATGAGATCTTTGCTAGGAAAATGACCCTCCGAGGCAATGTTGATTTTGTGAATAGAAATTAAATATGCCGACCATCTAGTCATCCAATTCGAATGATCTTTTTTTATTTTGTAGAGCTCATTTAGCTCCATAAAATAAATTTTTATTCACCAAATCAACATAGCCGCGGAGGGTCATTTTCCTAGCAAATATCCCATATATAATAACGGCAATTTTTTTCGTACATCAGTTTGTGTAACTTCATGTACATCAAATCTGGTTCAGCCAATAAAATTGCGCAATTTCGATACATCAATTTTATTAGTGTAATCTTATTGTACATCATTTTAATTTTTTAAAAATTAAATTTTTTAAAAACTTTGAGCGAAGATATTTCAGAAACTATCTAAGCAAATTCGATGAATTTTTTAGAATTAAAAGAAAAAAAAAGTTCATCGAATTTGCTTAGATAGTTGTTGAGATATCTTCGCTCAAAGTTAGTAGAAATTCAAAATGACTAATAAAGAAGCAATAAAATTTTTTTAAAAAATTGAGTGAAGATATCTAGACAACTACTTAAGCAAATTTGATGAACTTTTTTTTGTTTTAATTCTAGAGATTTCTAGAACTAAAAGAAAAAAAAGTTTATCGAATTTATTTAGACAGTTGCTGAGATATTTTCACTCAAAGTTAGCAGAAACTCAAACCGCCTATAATAAAGAAACAAAAAATCTTTGAGCGAAGATATTTCGACAACTACTTAAGCAAATTTTATAAACTTTTTTTTGTTTTAATTCTAAAGATTTCTAGAATTAAAAGAAAAAAGGTTCATCGAATTTGCTTGGATAGTTACCAAGATATCTTTGCTCAAAGTTAGTAGAAACTCAAAATATCTATAATAAAAAAGCAGTAAAAAAAAACTTTGAGCAAAGATATCTTGGAAACTACATAAGTAAATTTGATTAATTGTTTTGTTTTTAATTCTAGCGATCTATAGAATTAAAACAAAACAAAGTTCATTGAATTTGCTTAAGTAGTTGCTGAGATATCTTCATTCAAAAAATTTTTTTTAAAACTTTTTACTGTTTTTTTATTATAGATATTTTGAATTTCTACTAACTTTGAGCAAAGATATCTTGACAACTATCCAAGCAAATTCAATGAACATTTTTCTTTTAATTCTAAAAATCTCTAATATTAAAACAAAAAAAAGTTCATCAAATTTGCTTAAGTAGTTGTCGAGATATCTTCGCTCAAAGATTTTTTGCTTCTTTATTATAGACGGTTTGAGTTTCTGCTAACTTTGAGCAAAGATATTTCAGCAACTGCCTAAGTAAATTTGATGAACTTTTTTTTTTTAATTCTAGAAATCTCTAGAATTAAAACAAAAAAAGTTCATTGAATTTGCTTAAGTAGTTGTCAAGATATTTTTGTTCAATTTTTTTTAAAAATTTTTCTGCTTCTTTATTATAGGTGTTTTGAATTTCTACTAGCTTTGAACGAAGATATCTTGACAACTACCTAAGCAAATTTGATGAACTTTTTTTCTTTTAATTATAAAGATCTCTGAAATTAAAATAAAAAGAAATTTATTAAATTTGCTTAGATAGTTTCTAAGATATCTTTGCTCAAAGTTTTTAAAAATTTAATTTTTAAAAATGATGTACAGTAAAAATTGATGTATCGAAATTGCGCAATTTTATTGGCTGAACCAGATTTGATGTATGTGAAGTTACACAAACTGATGTACAAAGAAAATTGCTGATATAATAATCAATTAAATTCCTATTTATGAAACAGCTGTAAAAAAAAAAGAAAATTCTGAAATCAGCCAATTAGTAATCAGTATTATTCTAATAGGACCAGACCAGGTATTACTCAGGCAGATCTTCATGTAGGTTCAAACCCATATTGATTCTGATAAATCAAGAGTCCAAACTTGGTCTGTCAATAGACTAGACTGAATCTAGATCTTTTGCAGAACACTATTTAGAGTAATAACCCAAATTAAGCTTAATTTAGGTCGAATTCATAATTTTGTCCTGTATGTTATTTCATGACAACTAATCTAGCATTACTAACCTAAAAAAATTTATTAAAAAATTTCACTGTTAGATTAGAATTAGGTTTTGCTATTAAGCTAGATTAGAAAAAGCTTTAATATAATAGTATCAAAATTTTGCAAGTAAAAATTTTTGTTAGTATATAGAAGGCAATTTCATAGATAAAATATTAAATTATTTTTAGTTTGTTTTGATTTTTGGTATTTCTTTTGCATAATACCTGATTTTAAAATCTAATTGGTTAGTAAAAAGCTGTGACTTATAATCAAACACATATACTATTAATTTTAAATAACTATATTCAAGTTTATTATAAGTTAAATATAACAGAATTAATTTATTACAAGTCAAACATCAAACCTTCATAGATTTATAAAAAATAGATATCTGAATATTTTAATTAAAGTTACTCTAGATAAAATACTGTATAAAAGATTTTTTAAAGGAATATAAAGACAAAGATAATTTAAATAAAAAAATAGATATTTATTTTAGATCTTTTAAAATCATTGCTAATAATGAAAAAGGACAAAAAAGTAAACAAGCAAAGTTGTTTATAAAATATAGAAAAGTGAATGTACTTTTCTTGATTAAAAAAATATATAAAGAGAAAAATTTGATAGTATATATGAGATCTAGAAAATTTTATATATTCAAGTCTAGAGGGCAAGCTACAATATTAGTATTAGGTAGAACAATCTAGAGGATTGTCTTATATTCAAGACTAAAGATCAATCTAATATTAACCTTACTGAAACAAAGATAATCTAGAGAGTTGTCTTATATTCAAGGCTAAAAGCTGACTCAGTAGAATAGAAATAAAATAAATATAATATAGAGATTAATTAAAAATTGTTAACTAGTCAAGTTTCTTGTTTAAAATAATTGATCTGATTATCAAAAAATACAGAACTCAAATAATAGACATATAAGTAATAACTCCTCAATTAATATTAATTATTTAATAATTTCTAAAAATATCCAAGAAATTGTTTTAAAGAAAAGTAATTAATAATGCTCCAGGTCAAAAGAATATATAAACAAAAAGATAAAATAATAGTTTAAATTTTTTGTATTTTTATTTACAAGTATTATAATTAACTAACATTATCTATCTAACAAAAACTACTATATATAAAACAAAATATTGAGAATAAAGATATTAAAATATGAAAATTTTTAAGTAATATATAACAAAAATAAGGTTATAATATATATATTTTATTATCTATATACAAGATAATTTCAAAAACTATTAAAAGTAGTAAAGATTTAGATACCAAGTTACTTAAATAGCAACAATATATATTTTAATAATTGTTTAATAGAATTGGCATCTATTTAAGCAAAATATTTATAATATATTTGATATATCATTTATTTTTTATTTGCAACAAAAAATAAACAAAATTATAGCTATTTGTTAATATCAAATAAATTGTTAACAATTTGGTCATATATTGCAT